TTTACTTGAGCGTATTAAAACATTGCTTCATTTGAATTCTACCTAACCCCCACCTACCTTTCCCTGATATCCTAAAATAATCGATCTTTTCCTGTGTTTGATGCCACGCCCATGTTTACTCTGGTCTCCCTTGTAGCAAGTTAATAAACCTGGCTTTGTTGGACTACAGATTTGTCCCCGATGATCTTTATCAGCTGTGCCTCATAAAAATGTGTTGTTGTTAAGTGCCATTGAATTGGTTTCGACTCATAGTGACCTTATATGACAGAGTAGAACTGCCTCATGGGCAGATTGCCAGGTCTTTTCTCCTGCAGAGCTGTTGGGTGGGTTTGAACCGCCAACCTTTTGGTTAGCATTGGAGCATTTAATCATTGCACTACCAGGGCTCCATGCATGGTAGTACAGTGAAACTTGTGAGAGCAGGAACTTGACAGGACTACCTTGTTTTTCCGGGTCTTGCAAGTTTCCTGCCTTTGATAGGTTTCTGCCTTACACAGATTCTGGCTTTCATAGGTTTTACTGCATTAAAGAGCTCATTTTTTTCTTACTTTTTAAAAATCCACACCAATATTTTTATAGGATCTATCCATGTTGTGGAGTCCTGGTGTCACTGTGGTTAAAAGCAAAGCGGCTAACCAAAAAGTCGCAGTTGGAATCCACCATCTGCTCCTTGGAAACCTTATGGGGCAGTTCTACTCTGTCCTGTAGGGTCACTATGAGTCAGAATCGACTTGACAGCAACAGATTTGGTTTTATCCATGTTGTTATGTGTAAATCTAATTCATTACTTCTAACTGCTAGATAGAATTTTGTCTTACCAACACATCCATACCCCCTGTTATTGTGTCCCCCAAAAATGTGTATCAACTTGGTTAGGCCATGATTCCCGGTGTTGTGTGGTTGTCCACCATTTTGTGATCTGATATAATTTTCTTATGTGTTGCAAATCCTAATCTATGCCTGTGGTTAATGAGGCAAGATTAGGTTATCTTAAAGAGGATTAGGGTGGGATGCAACACCCTTACTCAGGTCATAGCCCTGATCTGATGTAAGGGGAGTTTCCCTGGGGTATAGCCTGCATCACCTTTTATCTTACAAGAGATTAAAGGAGAGAGAAGCAAGCAGAGAGATGGGACCTCATGCCGCCAAGAAAGAAGCACCAAAAGCAGAGCACGTGCTTTGGACGTGGGGTTCCTGTGCTGAGAAGCTCCTAGAGAAGGGGAAGATTGATGACAAGGACCTTCCTGCAGAACCCGCAGAGAGAGAAAGCCTTCCCCAGGAGCTGTCACCCTGAATTGGGTCTTCTAGCCTTCTAAACTGTGATAGAATAAATTTCTCTTTGTTAAACCATCCACTTGGGGTATTTGTTATAGCAGCACTAGATAACTAAGATACCCACACATGCCAAATTTTCTTTTCCATTCTTCTAGTGGTAGATACCAGGGTTGCCTCTAGTTCCTTTGTATTACAAACAATGCTGTCAGTCCTCATGCATTTTCTCTTACGAACATGCTTGAGGATTTCTCTGGGATATATACTCTGAAGTGGGACTGTTGAGTTATAAAGTTGCTGTCTAGTCGATTCTGATTCATGGCGACCCCATTTGTGTTAGGGTAGAATTTTCTCCATAGGGTTTTCAATGGCTGATTTTTTGGAGGTAGATGGCCAGGCCTTTCTTTCAAGGCACCTATTGATGGACTTGAACCTCCAACCTTTTGGCTAGTAGCTGAGCACGTTAACCATTTGCAGCACCCAGGGATTACTATAAAGTTGTGTCATGGATTGAATTATGTCCCCCAAAAAATGTGTGTATCAATTTTGCTGGGGCCTGATTCCAAGTATTGTGTGGTTGTCCTCCGTTTTGTGATTGTAATTTTATGTTAAAGAGGATTAGGGTAAGATTGTATAACACCCTTACTAAGGTCACATCCCCGATCCAATGTAAAGGGAGTTTCCCTAGGGTGTGGCCTGCACCACCTTTTATCTCTCAAGAGATGAAAGGAAAGGGAAGCAAGCAGAGAGTTGGGGACCTCATACCACCAAGAAAAAAGCACTGAGAGCAGAGCACGTCCTTTGGACCTGAGGATCCTGCACAGAGAAGCTCCTAGAACAAGGGAAGATTGATGACACAGACCTTCCTCCAGAGCCGACAGAGAAGGCCTTCCCCTGGAGCTGATGCCCTGAATTTGGACTTGTAGCCTACTGGACTGTGAGAGAATAAATTTCTCTTTGTTAAAACCATCCACTGGTGGTATTTCCATTAGAGCAGCACTAGATGACTAAGACACATTGTAAACCAAACAACCAAACTTGCTGGTGTTGAGTCAATTCCAACTCATAGCAACCCTATAGGACAGAGTAGAACTGCTGCATAGGCTTTCCAAGGAGTGGTTGGTGGACTCAGACTGCTGACCTTTTGGTTAGCAGCCAAGCTCTTAACCACTGTGCCACCAGGGCTCCTACATAGGTATACAGGTACTTAATTTTTCTAAGTACTGTCAGAGTCTTGGCTCCGCTTGACATACTTGCCAGCACTTGGTACTATTATCTGCTTTCAAATATTTTCCAATTTGATAGGTATAATGTGGTATTCCAGTGCTGTTCTGATCTATATTTTTTGAGCACAAGTGAAGTCAAGCATCTTTTCTATGTTGATTACCCCTTTGTTTTGCTTCTGTGCATTACCTGTTCATATTCTCTCTTTTAAAAAACTGGGCTTTCTGTCTTTATATAAATAAAGCATAAGAGCTAGTTTTTGCCCTTTCATAATTTACAATTAAACAGAAATTAGAGAACAATGGAGTAATTTACTGTGTGGTACTTCCTGTAAACATAAACCCTGGAGAGTAGAACTGTCATGAGTTGATGTTTATAGAGGCAATTGGGAGAGATAAAGTGTGACCAGATTCAGAAGTATAGAAAAGAGGTAAGTGATGGAGGAGACAGAAACTTTCAACCTTGACAGGCAGCCTGGACAAAGGCCAGAGGAAGAAAGGCAGGTGGTGGTTCAAGGAACAACAAGGAAACCATCTTGAGTGGAGAATATGGTTGGGAGTAGTGGTAATTAAATTTGGATAAATGATGCTTAATTGGCAGAAAGGTTTAGTAGGTACCTGAGCAGAGAAGTGACATGATCAAAAGTAGTGTTTTAGAAAGATCTGATTTTCCATGGCAAAGAGACTGAGAGGGTAGACCAGTAATTACAGCAGACTGTAGGTGAAAAGAAAATGTTTATTGGAATTGAACAGAAAATGTGGACTAGTATGTTGGCATTGGGCTTGGAAAGGAAAGGATAATTAGAAAGGTTTAAGAAAGAAAAGAGATTTAGTGACTATAAAAGCAATGAAAGAGTTACTGATTATTTTTAGATTTTAGTCTGAGGGATTTGAATAATTAAGATTATATTGTCTGAAATAGGATAGTTTGGGAGGGGAAATAAGCAATAGGGAAAAGGTCATAAGTGGCAATGGTGTTATATTTTTAATTTCTTCTGAATAAACTTACGGGGTATAAGGGGAGAGCATATTGTTCCCAAGTTCTGGATTTTTTTTTCCTTTGTTTTTTGCTATTACCAGACCCATTCAAACCTTATTTCACATTTCCTTTCTGGCTTTTCTAATCACCCTTTCTACACACAAATCTCCTTTCCTCAAGTAAGCGCTATTTAACAATTTCTCCATATTCCCTCAAATCTTGAAAAACACCAACCAACCTTTTGTAAAATTTGCCATGTTTTATGATACTCAAACACTATAGTCCAATACGGTGACTCTAGAAAATAATACATGTCGTTATAGTGATTGATTTATACATGGTTTGCTAAATGCATCTATGTTGTAGGCTTTTTGGCTAATACAATTTGTTAAAACACTCTTAGCAAAGTTGTTACAATGACCATCTTCTGGGACTTGGAAATAGCCTTATTATACAGAACTCAATGTTACACACTAATGGCATTTATTAGAACGGAATTCTATATGTATTATTACTTCCGACATTAGCCTTGCTTTTTTAGCCTCCTCACAGCATGAGATTTGGGTAATTATGCTAATGCTCGCTGACTCATGAGGACAACTTCCTAAAGTGTACTTAATTAACTTGGAGATTTTGTAAACAGCTGTACATGTAGGTTCCACAAATTGTGGGAATATGTCAATCTCATCACTTTTTGCTAAAGCTTAAAACAAAAAGCACAGATTGGTTACGTTTTGAAGCAAGAGCTTGAAGAAGATTCTGAGAAATGTCGCTTTAGCCTATATGAAGACAGGGAAGATCTGATCCCTGTTGAGTCCAGATGAGGTAGGTAGATTGTTGCCTTTTATATGGTGTGAGGGGAAAATACTAACTTTCATTTCTTTAGCAAAGAGTACAATTTTTCCAACATGTTGCCGGCAATGGGATTTTGCCAGTCTGTTAGTCCTGCTGGCCAATATTGCTCTTCAGTGGACTCTTCTAGGGGGTCAGATTTCTCATCCAGAAGGATCCGTGATTTCTGCTTCCCTTCAGACCTGCCCAGCTGCTTTGCTGATTAGATATTATAGTGACTCATTGCCCTCATTTGAATGGCAATCATGTGACTTTTGACATATTTTATTAAAATCTCAATCTCCTGGTAAGAGATAATATTTGGATACACAGAATACGTAACCATGATTAACAGTGCTGTACAAGAATTTACACACATACACACACACATATATTTTAAGAGAACAGGATAACGAATCACATCAGAGACAAGATCAAGCTAATCAAAATGGAGGCAAGAAACATTACAGGGAAAGAACAGGAGAGAAAAAACAAACCCTACCACAATCAGAAGAAATAGCAATTGCACAAAGCTAATGACAATGGAGAATAGGGATGGTTTTTAATAATCTTCTTATTACCACTGCATAAAATTGCAGTCCCACACAAGTCCTAGAAACTAAGCTAGGGATTTGCCTGTGGTTTCTCAGGGGTGCTGGCAAGGTCTTTTCCCCTCATTAATTTAAGCTACAATCCTGGGTACAATCTCTTTGGGAACTAGCTAGATTACGTCTAAAGATAATCAAACACTTATTGCTTAGCCTTTTCTTTGACTTCAATTGTCAGAACCTCTTCTCCAGCCTCAGAAGAAGGAGCCATGCTGATGATGAGTGATTGACCTGTAGTTCCTCTGGGTAAAACTGCCCTGCCACCCAACTGGAGCATTTCCTCCACTGTAATAGGACTTGCTCCACATTTGGGTGTATCCCATGGTTTCTCTGCTGGCTCCCTTCCTTCATCTTCATATTCTTTTCCTTTACCCTCTCCTTCAGAGTCTTCACTTTTTTTCTGGAAGGAGCAATTACAAAGACTTGGTACCAAATCAAAACCATGGACTTCAGATTCTTTTGATTAGCTTATGTTGGCTAAGAATCACTGCCAAAAGAAAGACCCTCTGAATTAAGTTAATATGGGAATCATGTCTCCCTATGCATCTATCATTTGACTAAGTTTTCTGATGTGCTGGAAAATGGGGCTGAGCTGTCACTTTCGATTTACAGGATTGGTTTGGATTACATTTTTGTCCTTGCAAAGGAATTCTCTTTCTACTGTCCTCATACTCTGAATTAGTAGACTCAGTGCTCAGGAGTCTTTGTTGTTGCTCTTTAAATGTTTATTTTTTAATACAAATAATATTAACCAAATACTGTAAAAATACTATAGGAAGTATGGTATTCCTCCTGCATGAGCTCATGGGAGGACCTTAGGATGAAACTCATATCTCTTTCCTAGTACAATCTTCTCCATTTGTCCCATGGGTGCCTGAGCTATAGTTTTTGAATCTATTGTGTTTAGTATCATTTATAGAAAGCTCATAGTAAATATTTGCTATGCTCTTTACTGATGATGCTTGGAGTCAGTTTGAGAGAGGCTTGTATGAGGTATGAATTTGCACATATAAAGTTGAGAACCTTACTTAATAATACATTCACTTACATATTTCTCCACTCACATACATCTTTTATACAAATTATTATTTCTACACTGATGTAAAGGGGGCAATTGGTTTATACTGCATCCCTAATTTTCACCAGTATGTGTGTGGAGAAAGAAGAGGGAAGTCTTTTGAATGTGGCTGACTTTATAATATTTGCTTTACCCGTTTTCTGAAAGGCCCACATCTACCCATGTCTTGCAATTTGAGAGACAATATAATGACTAAACTCAGAAGAACTCAACCTCTGCTCTGTCTGTTTCTCAGTATCTGCTTTTGTAGGCTAATTACGAGAATCAAAGAAATATTAGGCAAAAAAAAGAGGAAGAGAAAAAAAAGCATTCTAATTTCTTCACATTTCTAGGAATTGGGAGGCAGCTCGGTGTAGGTCTGGAAGTCTGAATACCTGAGCAGTAGTTTCTGCTCTGTCACAAATTGTGATATTAGCCAAAATCCTTGATCTGGATCTCATTTTCTTTATCTATAATATGAAGGACTTGGATGAAATCTACAAGATCCCTCTGGCTTAAGAATTTGTGATGTACAATTGATGGAATATTTGTGAAAATGTCGTTTACTAGCTAGTTGGTAAAATGGGTTATATATTTTTATGTCTATATGTATGTCTATCCACACACACACACACTCACTAAAACCCATGAGGATTAAATGTGATGACATTTGGGGAAACAGTTTTAAAAATGAGAAGTGCTACACATACAAAGCAGTAATTATTAGCAGTAGGTTAATCCAAACTATCCCAGTGTCAGAAATGGAATTAAAGTAAGAGCTTTCCTGGGTACACTTACACCAGTGCTCTGTCCATTACAACTTTCCATTAAGTCTGTCTTATTACCTGAGCTGTTTGTTCTCTCTTCAATTTGAGTAGTCTTGCAAGACCTGTTTTTCCTGTACCTCCAAGTAGAGCTTTAAACATTTTGGGTGTCTCTTCTTTAGGTGGGAAGAGAAAGGCACATCCTTTTCTGGGAGGGGTTGCCCCTGTGGCCTTAGCCTTCTGTTTTAGAAGAACTCTGTGAACAGGAGAGGAAAGCTATTTTAGATAGCTCTGTGAGAGTTCCAGCAAAATCTACCAAGAAAAACTTCTCCTAGTTTGTTTTCAATCAGCACCTTAACAGACAGTTGTATCACGTGGAGAAAGTTGATTACTATTGTCATAGTATAGTACTCCTGGTCTTAGATTTTACAGACTAAAACCAATCCCGTCTCTAATGAAATTTTAAAGGTTGTACCTGGCTTTCTTCATAAGGAGCTTTTCAGAATCTGGATAGTGTGCTAGAATTTCTTGGAGGGTCTTTTTGTCTAGTGTTAAAAGATTGGCAAAACCATGAGCCACCACATTGGCAGTTCGACGATTTCCTCCACCTGCTGCTAGAAGACTGTGAGAGAGAAAAATGAGTCTTTGCCACCAGTTTCACTCTTCTTCCACTGAAATCCTTTTTAAAATAAATCGCTATGTTGTCAGACATTTACACTGCTTAGAGACAGTTCTTGGGAGGTGAGATTTCAGGTGATTATGTGGAGAGAGCCAAGATACGGTGGTAATAAAAGTGTGAATAGTTTTCAACAGGTTTTTTCTCTTGTCTCCCACCTCAAATCAAGGACTAGTGGCCATCAGTGCCCTGTCAGATCCTTCATCCCGGATTCCAGAGGTGCAGAATTCCTTTGGGCTGGGTACTCCCCATTTGCTGCTCTAGATCCACTGTTCACATTTCTCCATCTTCCTTTGCTGCCCAGGAAGCTGACCTCTGAGGGCTTGCCCTCTTACTTCCATTTGGATTCAGCCAATGGGCATATTGGTAGGAAATCAGAAAGCAGGAGGAGAGTAGGGTCGGGACATTTATTTCCTCCACCTTTCCCTGCCAGTCTTTAGGTTAGCAGTGGCTGCAGTTCTTTACAAAATTTGCAGCTTCTGGCATGTGGACATCTCCTAGAATTGCAAGTAGAGCCAGAGTGCATTCTGGGTCTGGTAACCATGCCCTTCCCTTGCCTCCTTCATACCTAGCTATGGAAATAGCTTCCTTGCCATTGCTAGCTTTGGGATGCATTGCCATCTCATCCTGGGTACTCTTAGATTTTTCCCTCACTTCTGTCCATGATCCTTTTATTAATATCTTCTCAATTACCTTGCATTAGTGTATCTTCTGTTTCCTACCTGGGCTCTGACTGATACAACCCTCAACATCAAATCTGAGGGACAGCTCTTAATGATTCCCTGGTTACCTCAGGTGAATCCAATGTCTTCACCTTCTAATCTTCCAGATCATCTTGTATATCAATATTATAAACTGCTCTGTAGTGTGCTCCTACACATGAAACTCCCTCCACTTGGAATGTCAGTGAATTCTGGGCTTTATGTCTCTCAGGGACATAGCAGGGTGTTTTACATCCGGGAAGTGACCAACAAGTAGTTGGTAAGTAAATGTACACACAAATGAAAAAATAAAGGAATGAAAATTATATTATTCACCAATGATCTGGAAAAAGGGGGTTAGTTTTTAAAAATAAGACAAAAAAAAAAAAAGCACATTTCAAATGTTTATAAAAATACCATAGGCTCTGCACTGAGAAGATAAAACAATAGACCCCTTGGAACCAACCAGTTCAAAATGGAGAAAGAATCACATTAATAAAAACACAATCTCTATGGGTGGAAAGGACAGAAAAAACACCTTGACAGTAGAATCTCACAGCCCTGCCTTTGGAGCAGTGAGATGTGAGAAGCTGCATGGGTCCTGTGTCAATCTGCTGAAGGTTTATGTTAGATGATGTGTACATCTTCTACTGTTGTTGAAGAAAGGGGAACATTCCAGCTGGTTGTTAATTTTTAAAAAACTAACATAGGGTTTCAACTCTAACATGTAATCACTCTAGTCTTTAAAACAAAAAACAAATCAATTACTTTCTTAGTCCCATCAGAGAACTGAGGTTACAGGACAAACTGCCATCCCAACTTCTGGAGAGACAGGTGAATCCAGAGAGTTACCGACAGATCTGCTTACCTGGAGCAGAAGCTCCTAGAGCTATAAACTAGAGGAACAGTTAAATGGTAATGTTGATGAATTGCTGGAGGCTGAGAGTGGACTAGCATGAGAGTGAGAAATTCTTGGGGACCAAAGTCTTAGAAGGAATCTCACACTTTTGAGGGTTTTTACCTCCAGGAACCCCACCATTTCTCATGGTGGAGAGCTAACAAAGATCCCCTGGTGGATCTGGCAGGGGGAAGGGAAAATTAATCATTGTGATATATTTCCAGAGTGTATTTGTTTTCCATAACAAAGGCCTACTCTCCAGGCCTTTACTAGACTTTACCAGAGTGTTATCCCAACACTAAGGGAAGCGCATTATTCCCACTCCAGCCCCCTTTACCTTCCTTGTTTTACCTAAGGAAAATGGGAAGCTAAGAAACACTTGTGAAGGGTTATATCCCAGGGACACAGGCCCACTAAAAGACTAAGATTTAATCATAAGATTATAGAATGCTTCCCCTTACATGTATTTTAGCACCACACCAACAGTGCTTCTGTTAATAGCAGTGGATTATAGGTGAAAAAGCTGCAACAGGAAGACTCTTTGAGAAGGAATACTTAGGGAAGCCCAAAGTCAACAGAGGAGATGAAAACTAAGTCTCTAGAGAAATTTGAAGCCCCTGCCACCTACAGTTACAGAAAACATTAAGCACAGTCCAACTCCTAGTCATATTAACATAAAAACCTCATGCTGTAAGAAAAACAAAAACAAAAACAAACTCGTTGCCATCGATCGAATCGATCTCAACTCATAGCGGCCTTATAGGACAGAGCAGAATTGTTCCAAACAGCTTCCGAGGAGTGGCTGGTGGATTCAAACTGCCAACCCTTTGGTTAGCAGCCGAACTCTTCACCACTATGCCACCAGGGCTGTCACCTCATGCTATAACCAAAAAAACCAAACCTGTTGCCGTTGAGTCAATTTCAACTCATAGTGACCCTATGCTGTAAGCCTATTTATTTCAGTTCCTATTACCCACTACATCACATTCAGCTTTCAAAAAAAAAAAAAAAAATACAGGGCTTGGTAAAAGACAAGGAAAAAACAGTCTGAAGAGACAAAGTAAGTATTAAAACAAGAGTCAGATATGACACAGATGGTGGAATTATCAGACAAGAAATTCAAAATAACTGTGCGAGTCGCTATGAGTCAGAATTGACTCAACAGCAACGGGTTTGGTTTTTTTATGATTAATATGTCAAATCTATTCTTGAGATGGTCTCTAAATTCAGGTGGGATATAATCAAGGTCGTATTTTGGCTCACATGGACTTGCTTTAATTTTCTTAAGCTTCAAATTGAACTTGCATAGGAGCAATTGAGGGTCTGTTCCACAACTGGCCACTGGCCTTGTTCAGACGATGATACTGAGCGTCTCCATTGTCTCTTTCAACAGATGTAGTCTATGTGATTCCTTTGTATTCCATCTGGCAAGGTCCGAGTGTACAGTTGCCGTTTATGTTGTTGAAAAAAGGTATTTGCAATGAATAAATCATTGGTCTTGCAAAATTCTATCATGTGATCTCTGGACTCATTTTTATCACCAAGTCATATTTTCCAACTATTGATTCTTCTTCTTTGTTTCCACCTTTTGCATCCCAATCACCAGTAATTATCAATGAATCTTGATTGTATGTTTGATCAATTTCAGATTGCAGAAGTTGGTAAAAATCTTCAATTTCTTCACATTTGCCGAATTTTGGGATGACATCAAGGACATCATACATGAAGAAAGCAAAAGGTCATTTAAAAAGACAGAAAAAAAAAAGACAAAATTGGTGTCAGAAGAGACTCAGAAACTTGCTCTTGAACATAGAGTAGCTAAAGCAAAAGGAAGACATGGTGAAGTAGAAGAGCTGAACAGAAGATTTCAAAGGGCAGCTCTAGAAGACAAAGTAAAGTATTATAATGAAATGTGCAAAGACCTAGAGTCAGAAAACCAAAAGAGAAGAACATGCTCAGCATTTCTGAAACTGAAAGAACTGAAGAAAAATTTAAGCCTAAAGTTGCAATATTAAAGGATTCTATGGGCAAACTATTGAATGATGCAGGAAGCATCAAAAGAAGATGGAAAGAATACACAGAGTCACTGTACCAAAAAGAATTAGTCGATGTTCAACCACTTCAGGAGATAGTATATGATCAAGAATCGATGGTACTGAAGGAAGAGGTCCAATCTGCACTGAAGGCATTGGCAAAAAACAAGGCTCCAGGAATTGATGGAATACTAATTGAGATGTTTCAACAAATGGATGCATCACTGGAAGGGCTCACTCGTCTATGCCAAGAAATTTGGAAGACAGCTACCTTGCCAACTGACTGGAAAAGATCCATATACATGCCTATTCTAAAGAAAGGTGATCCAATGAAATGCAGAAATTATAGAGCAATATTATTAATATCACATGCAAGTAAAATTTTACTGAAGATAATTCAAAAATGGTTGCAGCATTACATTGACAGAGAACTGTGAGAAATTCAAGCCGAATTCAGAAGAGGATGTAGAACAAGGGATATCATTGCTGACAGATCTTGGCTGAAAGCAGAGAATACCAGAAAGATGTTTACCTGTGTTATATGGACTACGCAAAGGTATTTGACTGTGAGGATCATAACAAATTATGGATAACTTTGCGAAGAATGAGAATTCCAGAACACTTATTTGTGCTCATGCAGAGCCTGTACATACCCCAAGAGGCAGTTGTTAGAACAGAACAAGGAGATATTGCATGGTTTAAAACCAGAAAAGGTGTGCGTGAGGGTTGTATCTTCTCACCATGCTTATTCAACCTGTACGCTGATCAAATAATCCAAAAACCTGGGCTATATGAAGACGAACATGGTTTCAGGATTGGAGGAGACTTATTAACAACCTGCGATATACAGATGACACAAACTTGCTTGCTGAAAGTGAAGAGGACTTAAAGCACTTACTGATGGAGATCAACTGATGAAGTTCAAAGACTACTGCCTTTAGCATGGATTGTAACATAAAGAAAACACAAATCCTCACAACTGGACAGTAAGCAACATCATGATAAATGGAGAAAATATTGAAGTTGTAAACGATTTCATTTTACTTGGATCCACAATCAACCTCCTTGGACCAGTAGTCAAGAAATCAAATGACACACTTCACTGGGCAAATCTAATGCAAAAGACCTTTAAAGTGTTAAAAAGCAAAGATGTCACCTTGAGGACTGAGGTGCACCTGACTCAAGTCATGATATTTTCATTCACTTCGTGTGCATGTGAAAGCTGGACAATGAATAAGGAAGACCGCAGAAGAATTTATGCCTTTGAATTACAGTGTTGGCAAAGAATATTGAATTTACAACAGACTGCCAGAA